CCTAGCTCTTTTTTTTTTTTTTTTTTTAATAAAAGAGTAGGTGATTTTTTTTTTTTTTTGATCTGTTGTGTTGAACTCTGGGTCTGGGTGCTGTCTCTCAGTTCTTCAGTTCAAGGCTAGAGCTCTACCACTTGAGGCACCGCACCACTTCCAGCTTTTTCTGCTTATGGCACAGCGCCACTTCTAGCTTTTTTCTTTTTGCTTATGTGGTGCTGAGGACTTGAACCCAGGGCCTCATGCATACAAGGCAAGCGCTCTACCACTGAGCCACCTTTCCAGCCCATAAGTGGTCTTTTGGTTGATTATATTTATTAACCTGCTGGGTGATGCAACATCTACCTAACAAGTAGGAAATCTTGAGTTCAAACCTCAGTACCAGCACACACACACACACACACACACACACACACACACACACACACACAATATTTTGTGAGGGTTGGCAGGGAATGTGGCTTAGTGGTAGAGTGCTTACCTAGTATACATGAGGCCCTGAGTTCAATTCCTCAGTACCACATAAACAGAAAATGCTGCAAGTGGCGCTAGAGTGCTAACCTTGAGCAAAAGAAACTCAGACATTGATCAGGCCCTGAGATCAAGCCCCAAGACTGGCATAAATAAATAAATAAATTGCAAGGCTCCCTTCAGTAACACATATACTAAAACTTTATCAACTTGCTTAAAACTTTCTTGGCTCCCTACCATCTAGAGGATAAAGTCAAATTCCTTTCCTGGGCTTCGGACCTGATGGCTCGCTTTGTGCCTTGGCCCCTACCCATCCTTCTCTGGAAAGCCCTTCACTGTGTCCTGTGACCACCGAAGCAGGTCTGATTCCTTGCCCTTTCCTGCTGCCCCACCCCCTTCATACTTGTTAATGTGCTGTTCTCCTATAAGAGTTTTAGAGACTGGAAAGCCACACATCATTGCAATGTTTGTTTCTCAGTGCTTTGCATAGTTCCTAGTAGTTGGTGTTGAGTAAGATGATGCTAAGCTTAAGAATTTTTTTTTTTTTTTTGCCTGAACTCAGTGGCTGGGTGCTATCCCTGAGTATTTTTTTCTCAAAGCTAGAGCTCTGCCACTTGAGTCAAAGCTCCATTTCAAGCTTTTTCCTGGTTAATTGGAGATAGAGTCTTACAGACTCCTGTTCCAGCTGGCTTCAAACCATGACCCTCTGTTTTCAGCCACCTTAGTAGCTTGAATTACAGCCATGAGCAACCAGGATCTAGCTTGACAAGACTCTTAACATTCTATTTTACCCTTTAGATATTAGTTTCTAATGTGGGAAAAGGAGGCAAGGATCTTTGCTGCCATCCTGACTCAATTCTGCTCTGTGTCTTGTAATTTGAGCCAATTACCTGACTTGAGGTGTGGTTCCCTCATTTGCCACAGGCACCTATCTGGAGAGTTGTCAATGTCAACTGAGTTCCTGACTGAAAGCACATAAGACAAGAGTCCATTCCATATGCAAAACATGTTTGATAAAGGTTTATTTCCTGCCCTTGCCCTATGATTGCCAAGAGACTGCCTAATTTAGTTACATTCCAGTATGGCTCTTGGGGGTTGGAGGGTTGGCTCAGTTGGGAGAGTGTTAGTGTGGCTCTTGGCTGGTATCTTATTAGCCCTGGCACAAGTAAACTCACTTAATTCCACTATAGCAGACAGTACTTGAGCCTTCTTCCTAACAGAAAAAAATAATTTTAAAAAATCAGAGAGGCTGGGAAGGTGGCTCAGTGGTAGAGTGCTTGCCTTGCATGCATGAGGCCCTGGGTTTGATTCCTCAGCACCACATAAGCAGAAAAAGCCAGAAGTGGCGCTGTGGCTCAAGTGGTAGAGCGCTAGCTTTGAGATGAAGAGCTGAGGGACAGCACCCAGGCTCTGAGTTCAAATGCCACAACCAACAACAGCAACAACAAAAGAGTCTCACAGACTTTTCTGCCCAAGCTGGCTTTGAACTGTGATCCTCAGATCTCAGCTGCTGAGTAGCTATGACTATAGGTGTGAGCTACCAGCACCTGGCTTTCCCTCAGCTTTTTTTTGCTCAAGGCTGGTGTACTACCACAACTCTACTTCCAACATTTTGCTGGTTCATTGGAAATAAGGGTTTCTCAGATTTGTCTGCCCAGACTAGCTTCAAACCACAATCCTCAGATTTCAGCCTCCTGATAGCTAGAATTACAGGTATAAGCCACTAGTGCCCAGCTAGATTTCTTAACTGATTGATTCCCTGCTCCCAACCTACAGAAAGCATAGTAACTCACCTCTTGAACTTCTGCTAATTGTGCTTTGGTCATTGCTAATGAGGTATTCCTTTCATATAAGAGCTTCTTAAGTCGAATCACCTCCACATTCTCCTTAATGGAAGCACTGCAAAAAAAAAAAAAAAAGGTGTTGAAGCTGGGCTCTGGTGGCTCATATTTGTAATCCTAGCTACTTGGGAGGCTGAGAGCTAAGGATCATAGTTTAAAGCCATCCTGGGCAGGAAAGTCTGTGAAATCAACTCCACTAAACTACAAGAAAAGAAAGAAAGAAGGAAGGAAGGAGCTCAGAGACAGTGCCCAGGCCTTGAGTTCAAGCTTCAGGACCAGCATATGAGAGAGAGAGAGAGAGAGAGAGAGAGAGGTTGAATATCTGTATTTGAGAGGAAACAGCTCATCACCTATTTTGTGTATATGTGTGCCCATCCTGTAGCTTGAACTCATGGCCTGGATGCTGTCTCTGAGGTTTTTTCCTCAAGGCTAGCACTCTACCACTTAAGACATAGCTCTACTTTTAGCTTTTTTTGGGTGTTTAATTGAGATAAGAGTCCCAGAGACTTTCTTGACCAGCTTATCTTCAAACAGATCCTCGGATCTTAGTCTGAGTAACTAGGATTATAGGAGTCAGCCACTGGTGCCTGGCACACCAGTACTATTTTACCTGTGTGTGTGTGTGTGCATGTGTGTGTGAGAGAGAGGGGGGAGGAGAGAGAGGGAGGGAGGGAGACAGACAGACAGACAGACAGGCAGGCAGGCAGACAGACAGACAGACAGACAGACAGACAGACAGATTGTGCGTGTCCTGGGGCTTGAACTCAGGGGCTGGGTACTGTTCTTGAGCTTTTGTGCTCAAGGCTAGAGCTCTACCACTTGAGCCATAATTCCTCTTCAGGCTTTTTTGGTAGTTAATTGAAGAGAAGAGTCTCCTGGGCTTTGATGACGAGGCTGGCTTCAAACTATGATCCCCAGATCTCAACACTTGCATCTTTTTTTTTTTTTTTTTTGCCAGTCCTGGGGCTCGAACTCAGGGCCTGAGCATTGTTTCTGAGCTTCTTTAGCTCAAGGCTAACACTCTACCACTTGAGCCACAGCACCACTTCTGTCTTGTTCTGTTTATGTGGTACTGAGGAATCAAACCCAGGGCTTACATGCTAGTCAAGCACTCTACCACTAAGCCACATTCCCAATCCCCATTTGCACTTTTTTACTGGTGCCAAGAAGAGCATCTTTCTCTTGAGTTTTGCCTTCTGTGCTCACCCTAAAGACACCAGCATATAGTGTACAGTCTGGCAAATCATCTCCTTTTCCTGGTCTCACCAATTGAAATTTGAAACTATATATTTTATGAAAACAGAATATTGGGGGAAGGGGCCAGCGCTAGGGTTGAAACAACAGTAAGGGGATCAGGGAGAGGGGTGGCCTGTCATCCTAGCTACTCAGGAGGCTGAGTCTGAGGATCGTGGTTCTAATCCAGCCCAGGCAGGAAAGTCCATGAGACTCTTATCTCCAGTTAGCTACCAAAAAAGCCAGAACTGGCACTGTAGTTCAAAGTGGTAGAACACTAACCTTAAGTGAAAAAGGTCAGGAACAGCACCCAGGTCCTATATTCAAATCCCATAATCAAAAGCAAAAACAAAAACAACAACAAATAAAAACAATAAAAAAACTTCAGGACCTCTTTACCTACTTGCCTGGCACTCTGCCACTTGAACCACATCTTCAGCCTGGCATTTTGATGATTATTTTGGAAATAGTGTCTCTTAGACTTTTCTCTCTGGGCTGATTTACAATCTCAGTCTTTTAGATTTCAGTCTCCTGAGCCACTAGGAATTCAGGAATGAACCATCAGCACATAGCTTAGAGTAACTTTTTAAAAAAAATAATTGTGCCTGACGCGCTTAACAACTTTGGTAGGGGGTGGGAAGGAGGACCAGGTGGGGGGAGGGGAGGAATATGAGAAGGGATGGGAAGGGGAAACAACGGGGAAGCAACAATGCTTGATAAGAAATGTACTTGTTATCTTGCCCATGTAATTGTAACTCCTCTGTGCGGTATTCTCACAATTAAAAAAAAAGTATTGTGCCTGCAGTGTCTTATATATCTTGTAAAGTCCAAATATGTCTAAAGTTTATTTCATTAGAAAAACCAGAGAGAGAGCAATGCAGAGACAAGGAAGATTATTATTTCTAAATCAGCGAGATTATGCTTTAGTTTATAGTTTAATTTAATTTTGAGATAGGGTCTTAACTATGTAGCTTTAGGTGATCTCAAAATGTAATCCTCAGTGGTACTCACTGGAAACTATGTTGAAAATGAACTATACAATTTGTGGATGGGAACAGGAGAAGTTGAAAAAGTATGAGGGAAAGGGTAACATTGTCCAAAAAGAAATGTATTCATTACCCCTCTATACATCACCATTTTAATGACAATAAGAAAAAGAGAAAAAAGGAGCTGGGAAGATGGCTCAGTGGTAGAGTACTTGCCTTGCATGCCTGAGGCCTTGGGTTCGATTAATCAGCACCACAAAAGAAAAAAGCCGGAAGTGGCACTGTGGCTCAAGTGGTAGAGCACTAACCTTGAGCTGAAGAGCTGAGGGACAGCACTCAGGCCCAGAGTTCAGGCCCCACGACTGGGCCTCCCCCCCCCAAAAAAAAAAAAGAAAAAGAGAAAAAAGTCACCTTTCAAATACTTAATTATAATAAGAGCAACCCAGGCTATAAAAACACCAAGTCTCATGTTCATTAATTGCTTTGTTTAGTATTGGTGGACTAGATTTAGCTTTGGATGAGTAACTTAAAAATGACCTTGTGCTTAGTTGGTTTTGTTTTGTTTTGTTTTGTTGGTCATGGGGCTTGAACTCTGGCCTGAGCTTCCTAAGTAGCTAGGATTACAGACATGAGCCACTGGTGCCCAGCTGTGCTTAGTTTTTTTGTTGTTGTTTATTTTTTTTTGCCGGTTGTGGGGCCTGAACTCTGAGCCTGGGCATTGTCCCTCAGCTCTTCAGCCCAAGGCTAGCACTCTACCACTTGAGCCACTGCACCACTTCCAGCTTTTTCTGCTTATGTGGTGCTGAGGAATGGAACCTAGGGCCTCATGCATGCAAGGCAAGCACTCTACCACTGAGCCACCTTCCCACCCCTGTGCTTAGTTTTTTTTTATTTAATTAATGACTGGTGATGAATCACTTGTGACTGATTCACTCTTAGCCCATTCTGTTGTTCTGAGGAGGGAGTTATAATAAAACACCACTGTAGCCGGGTGCTGGTGGCTCACGCCTGTAATCCTAGCTACTCAGGAGGCTGAGATCTGAGGATCGCAGTTCAAAGCCAGCCCGGGCAGGAGAGACCGTGAGACTCCTATCTCCAATAAACCACCAGAAAACCGGAAGTGGCGCTGTAGCTCAAGTGGTAGAGCGCTCGCTTTGAGCTGAAGAGCTGAGGGACAGCGCCCAGGCCCAGAGTTCAAGCCCCACGACCGACAAAAAAAAAAAAAAAAAAAAAAACACCACTGTAGATGATATGAAAAACAAACAACACCCCCGCCCCCCCAGATTCAGCCACTAGAGACACAGCAGAAGAGTTGGTAGTTATTTTGGGAGATAGATTTTAAAGATGTCATTAAGTTTAAATGAGGTCATAAGGATTGATCTTAATCCAGTAAGGCCCCAATCCTTATAAGCAAAGGCAATGTGAACATAGGAAAGGACCGTGTAAAACTGCTCTGAGTATGGCCTTCCGTCCTGCAGAACTTATGTTCTGGAAATATGTTCTTTGACTTAAGCCACTCGATTGGTGTTATAACATGCCTAGTGGACTAAGTTTTGTAGAGAGATTCCTAAGGAACTGAGACAGATTCTTCCTGTGACCTAACTCTCCTTACCAGCCATCCTTCTCCTCAGACTATAATTGACACACAGTCTAGGACATGTAACAATTCACTTGCATAAATAAAGTATGTGTATACATTTATTTATACTTTTCTTAAAAAATTGTGATATCCTCGTGCTTCAGCTGAGGATGTGCTGAGATTCCAGGCCTTTGTTACCATATCCAACTTAGATCATGCTTGCCTGCTTTCTTTTCTCCTTTTTTCCTTCCTTCCTTTCTTCCTTGCTATCTCTCTCTCCCTCTCTCTTTCTTTCTCTCTATCTTTCTTCTTTCTTTCTTTGCTTCCTTCTGTCTTTCTTTTGTAGCAGTCTTGGGGCTTGACCTCACAGCCCCGGTGCTGCATCAAACTTTTGTGCTCAAGGCTAGCTGTCTACCACTTGAACCACAGCTCTACTTCTGGCTTTTTGGTGGTTAATTGAAGGTAAGAGTCTCAAAGACTTTCCTTATCAGATCCCAGCCTCCTGTGTAGCTAGGATTACAGATATGAACTACCAATGCCCTGTTTGAAGTCTATTTTTTATTCCTGGTCATGGGGCTTGAACTCTTGGCCTGGGTGCTGTTCCTGAGCTTTTCAGCTCAAGGCTAGCGCTCTACCACTTAAGCCACAGCGCCACTTCAGCTTTTTCTGTTTATGTGGTACTGAGGAATCAAACCCAGGGCTTCATGCATGCTAGACAAACACTCTACTACTGAGCCACAATCCCAGCCCGAAGTCTATTTTTTTTTAAGTCTCCAGGCACTGATAAACAGTAAGAGCTGAGAACTCCAGTCTGGTGATAAGAATGGAATGGTTTTCTTTTTTTTTTTTTTGGGTCCAGTCGTGGGGCCTGAACTCTGGGCCTGGGTGCTGTCCCTCAGCTCTTCATCTCAAGGCTAGCACTCTACCACTTGAGCCACAGCGCCACTTCTGGCTTTTTTCTTATGTGGTGCTGAGGAATCGAACCCAGGGCCTCGAGCATGCAAGGCAAGTGCTCTACCACTGAGCCACCTTCCCAGCCCCAATGGAATGGTTTTCCTTCTATGAATCAAAGCAGCAAATCTTCTATGATACATAAGCATTCCTCTTAAGGTTAATATATTTCTGAACCAGCAGTCTATGTCTCAGATTGAATTTAATTCTAACATTATTTTTCCCTCTATAATGAAGGGAAAGTGTACATAAGAATCTTTTGGGGGCTCGGAAGGTGGCTCAGTGGTAGAGCACTTGCCTTGCATGCCTGAGGCCCTGGGTTCGATTCCTCAGCACCACGTAAGCAAGAAGAAAAAAGCAGGAAGTGGCGCTGTGGCTCAAGTGGTAGAGTGCTAGCCTTGAGCTGAAGAGCTGAGGGACAGCGCCCAGGCCCAGAGTTCAGGCCCCACGACCGGACCCCCCCCCCCCCCAAAAAAAAGGATCTTATGGATGGGCTGGGAAGGTGGCTCAGTGGTAGAGCACTTGGCTTGCATGCTCGAGGCCCTGGGTTCGATTCCTCAGCACCACATAAACAAAAAATAAATAAAATTAATAAAATTAAAGGAGAAGAAAGAAAGAAAGGAAGGAAGGAAGGAAAAAGAAAGAGAGAGAGGGAGAGAGGGAGGGGGAGGGAGGCAAGGAAGGATGGAGGAAGGGAGGAAAGAAAGAAAGAAACTCTGGTTGTTTTTTTTTTTTTAATTAATCTTTTTTGTTTTGCTATACTTTCAGGCTGGACACTGCCTCACGCTTACCGAAGCTCTGCAGCTTTCTGGGCATACTCCAAGGAGCTCCTCTGTTTCAAATTTTCATCTTTGGACCATATTTTCTCAGGAGATGTGGGCCGTCCTTCCACCCTCATGATATTGTTGGCCATCATTTGGACACTGTTGGGCATACATTGACCAATGAGTTTAGCCATAATTATGACTTTGTTGAAAGAAGTTATAATCTTAGAATTAGGAACATTAAACACACACAAAAAAAGGAAATAGAAACTATTGGGCTGTCCACCTACAAAAAGAAAATAGAGATATAGCCAGTAATCTTGATGTGTGTGAAAGATGAGCTTACAAAATAGTCTTCAAACATGAAATGGCTATAGGAATAAATTACAGTATGGGGAATTTAAAAAAATAAAAGGGCATACTTTCAATGAGAAAAGAGTCTTTTTTGTTCTTTCCCCAGAAGACACAGAGATGCTTACTTTCCTATTTAAATCCTGAGGTTAGAAGCTGAACTAAGATTGCCTTTCGTATTCTCTGATTGCACTGGAAATCATCAACATCACGTTTATCCCTGAATGACTCATTTCCAATGAATCTGCAGGAAAAACAACAGGACACAAAGAAGGAACTCACCATTCGCTGGGTTGACTGGCTATTTCACTTCTGTTTTTTTCATTGGTCACATGCTCCCTGAATGTGGGAGGGGCTGTGTAGCTTAGCCTGTCCCTAGGCCCTGAAAGTTGAGGCAGAAATATACACTAGGCTGTAGCAACTGCACCTTCCAGAACAGTAAGTGCTAGATATAGGGAGTCTGAGCTCCATCAGGTCCTATTTGACAGAGGGGACAATCACTGGACCAAGGAGAGGGCCACTTTCTTTCTTTCTTTCTATCTTTCTTTTGCCTTTCTTTTTTTCTTTTGTCTTTCTTTCTTTCTTCCATCCCTCCATCCCTTTCCTTCCTTCCTTCCTTCCTTCCTTCCTTTCTTTTTGTCGGTTGTGGGGACAACTCTGGGCCTGGGCTCTGTCCTTCAGCTCTTCAGCTCAAGGCAAGTGCTCTACCACTTGAGCAACAGCACCATTTCTAGTTTTCTGGTGGTTAATTGAAGATAAGAGTCTCATGGACTTTCCTGCCTGGGCTGGCTTTGAACCACAATCCTCAGATCTCAGCCTCCTGAGTAGCTAGGATTATAGCCATGAGCCACTGGCACCTGGCTCTTTCATTTATTATTATTATTATTATTATTATTGGTAGTACTAACAGTAGTAGTAGTAGTAGTAGTCATCGTCGTCGTAGTAGTAGTTGCTGTTGTTGTAGTATTGGGGATTGAACTCAGAATCTTGTGCTTGGTTCTCCCACTTAAGTCATGCCCTAAGCCCTTTTGTTTGTTTGTTTGTTGTTGTTGTTGTTGTTGTTTTGTATACATAGGCAGGTACTGGAACTAGAACTCAGGGCCTAGGGTCTGGTCTGTCTCTGGCTTTTTGCTCAAGGTTGGCACTCTTCCACTTCAGCCACAACTCTATTTGCAGGATTTTGCTGGTTAGTTGGATTTGTTTCTGAGTTGACTTCTAACCACAATCCTCAGATCTTAGCTTTCTGAATCTCTAGGATTAGAGATGTAAAGCCACCAGCCCATGGCTTAAATTAATTGTTCTTTTAAAGGCTTCTCATTCCTCCAAAGGCTAAGAACCAGTGTGTGCCAGTGACTCCAGCCTGTAATCCTAGCTACTCAGGAGGCTGAAATCTGAGGATTGTAGTTTGAAGTTAGCCTGAACAGGAGAGCCAGTGAGACTCTTATCTCCAACTAACCAGCTAAAAGAAATGAAACTGCAGCTCAAGGCACCAGACTCGAGCAGAAAAGCTAAGGAGCAGTGTCCAGGCCTTGAGTTCAAGCCCCAGCACTGGCACATACAGAAAAGAGAATGCGCGCTGGGAATGTGGCTTAGTGGTACCACATACACAGTACCACATACACAGAAGAGACCAGAAGTGGTGTTGTTGCTCAAATGGTAGAGTACTAGCCTTGAGCAAAAGAAACTCAGAGACAATGCTCAGGCTCTGAGGAGTTCAAGCCCCAGGACTGGCCAAGAAAAAAAAAAAGAAAATGCTAAGAACCCCAGTTTTAGAGCACAGCTGTTCTGGAAACCCCTTCACACCTAACCAAGGCCACATTCCTTTTCTTATCTTTTTTCTAGACCCACGCAGAACCCACTATGGAAACCCTAGTTTTGATTATCTGGTTATCTCTGAGTGAGTATCCTGCGGAAATTGAGAGGTTTGCTGTTGTGGTCACGGAGGTGGGGGGTGTTGATCCAACCTAGGGCCTACTGCAGGTGCTTTTACCCCTGAGTTAGACCCTCCCCGAGCCCTGAACTTAGGATTTTGAACTTGATGTCCCACTCCATAAATTTACAAAAAAATAAAAAGATTTCTGGGGGGGATGTAGAAAAGACAGAGTGAGAAGAAAAGAAAGAACCAAGAGGACGGCCAGTTCATAAGGCAGGTGTAACAATCCCTCCCACAGTTTTAGGATGCCATCTTGAGCCTCTCACCCTTCTTGGAGTTCTCCAGCATCCGCCCACCCAGTGTATGGAGCTGTCGGTGTCCCGCATGAACCCGAGGCTGAGCACACGGGAGAGAGGGGCCCCCGCGCTGGGGCTGCCAGTGTAGCCTGTGCCAGGATGGCCGCTGGTGT